TTTTTAATGGGACAGACTGCTGCACATAGATGCCAAAGCTGTTAAACTTTGCAGACTGTTTCTCACTCTTTTTTAACTCTTAGTCAGATTTTTAGTTGAACCTGAGGCATATGTAGAGTGATTAGGGGTATAGTCTTTTAGAAATCAGCAGGCAAAAGTATTTGGATTTTTACCCCCAATTTAAAAACTGTGGTGGAATGAACAGATGTTTAAAGAATGGCCATTGAAATTAGATACTTGATTGCTGTTTAAAAATCCTGTGCATTGGTATTTCACTTAGTAGCTACAGGTTTTGCATATTTTTGGTTTACATTTTTTCCATTATTTTTACAGTTCTTACATCACAGAGTAAAGGAAAACGTGTTTTTGGTGACTCTTTTAGATGTTTAGAGACATTTCTATGTTAAGAACATCATAGCTTAGAAATTTGAGGATGCTATGTGGTTGATAGGAGATGCTCACTGGAAGAGGGAGGCAGAAATGTATTTCAGATCTGTGATGCATTGCTGGTGGATGAAATTCAAGCTCTGGAGTTGTTTGGGTTTTTTTGTTACAGCTCTGTCTCTAAGCTGGAGCAGTACACCTCAGCACCTACAGAGTATAGATGTTGGGAATTACAGATGTTGAAGGGAAAGTTAACAGTCAGTTTTAATTGAGAAATAGCCTTCAGTATGCTAACAGAGTCAGTGCCTGGTTAAATTGCCAGACCAGCGAAGGCCTGAGGTGAAGAGGGTTTGTTTGCAACAGGAAAAGCCAAAATTCGCCATTTAAGCACCAATGACATGAGGGAATGTTTAAGGGTTTTAGGGAGAATGTGGCTACACCTATATTTATGGTGGCTCTTCTCCTTTCCTAAGCAAATCTTTAAGCCTGCCTTCCTTTTGCAATTATGTGTGTAGCTGTTGGTCCTGGTGGCAGACTCACTATTTGCTGCTCCTGTACCCCAGGTGAAGCATGTAATGGTAGAGCAGGCAGCACGTGGAGCTTGTCCCTCCGTGTTTGGAGGACAGTTAGGAGCACGAGGGAGCTAGTGTCCCCCAGCAGCTGGCTTATGGAAGTAGGGATTTGTTGCTCTTTTCTTGCAAAATCAGCAGAGTTATCCTCAGCTGCCCTCAGGGAACTTCCAAAATGTTTTGAAATTGGTAAGATGAGACAAGCAAAGGTTAAGCCTCGAAGAGCCGTACTAAAAAACACTTTTCACCCCAGTCATCTCTGAGTTGAAAACTTCTCATTCTGCAAGATTAGTCAGATTTCCTTCATGCCCCCCCATTTTTTGGTCAGCAATAGTATTTATTTAAAGAAGCTTGGTCGAAAAGAATTATAGAAGGAAATGAACTGGGTGTTCATTAGGTTTCCCCAGCAAACAGTTTAGGCAGGGTTACAGAAGGAACAGATAGCAGTTAAATACAGTTGCAGCTGTAAATGTCATGTGCTTTTTGGAAATCTTCAGCTGACAAGGTGTGCTTTGCTGTGGCAACTGGTGTTTTGTGGTAGACTGTGGCATGAGCAGAATGCAAAGCACGGCTGGAATTCAGATTTGTGGTAGGGCTTTGGGCATGGCGGGAAGCCAGAAACATGGTTGTTCTGTAGTTGGTAAGTGCTTTTGAGGAAATGTTGAGAACAGTGGTGAACTGAAATTTTCAGAATTTGCACGCTGTGGTTTTTCTAGCCCTTTGCTGTTGCCCAGAGTAGTTCCTTCTGTGTGTTGACAGAGTTTATACTGGTCAGTGAGAGTACTGCAGAACTTGAAGTGAATGTTGCCTCAAAATGAGATTGTTTATTGCCATTCTAATTTGTGTGTCTCAGCTTGTTTCAAGTTGTCAGATTTCAGAGCTTCATTTTGCACACAGTGTATCTCCTTCATGAGGACTCATTGTTACGGGAATAATAACAGGCGCTGTGTTCTCTGGCTGTACAGAATCAATTTTTTTTTCTTCTTTTTGTCAGCAAAAACATGCAGATGCTGTCTTGGGTGGGTTGGGCAACATGAGAGGTGGCTGGTGCTCCAGATTGCACTAGTAAAGCTTTTGTGATTTTGTACAGCTCTGATAATTATTAGCATTGTAACATTTATCTTCATTTATCCTGTAATAAATTGTCTGTTGAATCTTTTCACTTCAGCAAAGTCATCTTTGAACGTCACTAAAATGTCAATCCAAAATTACTATATAAGGAAGAGGATGGCTTTTAAAACTAGCTCTTTGCATTTAAATCTAGGGAGCATAATTGATGATTGCCTAAAATAACTGGCAACCTTTCTATTAAAAAATCCAGTCAAAGTTTAACTCTTTTCCTTAGAAGAGCAATTTCCTATTTCTGAGAGACTGCCTCTCAGATCCCATTGCACAAAGAAAACTATAGGACCTACTGCTCTGTTTCTTTACAGCATGGGAGAATCTTTGTTTATTTAAAAAGAAAAAAAAAGTACAACTGGTTCATCACCAGAGCTGCTATTTCTTGAGTTTGTACATCTGTTGGAACTGGCAGAAATGCTGTAATACACATTCTTTCCTCTCCAGAGAAAGGGAGGAGGGGAAGGCTTGTAGTCATGGACTTGGCTGTGTTACTGTGTTTACTTCCTGACTTTTTCTATTTTATTTTTTTGTCCTTTTAAGAAAACCCAGCAAACAACTTCTTGCCTGAAATCAGTGCTTTGATTGCTGCTTATTTCGATCGTGGACTCTCCTGGTTTAGGGAGGGTGGCACTTTGCACTGCCCTGGTAGTCACCTGTACGAACATAGCAATGGTAGTAATTATCCAGTTAAAATAATGCTTTTAAGGTTGTTCTTACACTTCTAGACGTAATAGACTTATTTTTTTGTCAGTCATAGGCCAACATAGGATTTATGTATATGTAGTATATTTCAGACAAGGTCTACCAATTGCTTGTATCTATGATGCAACATCATGCCAAGATCCTGGAGAGGAGGATTTCTCCTTCTGTCTTACTCAGTTTCACCTTTTCTTTTTTTGGTCAGATAAGGGAGTATTTTAGTTAATTTAATGACAAACAGCAGCTGTAAAACTATTAAATTTGTTTTGGGAACAGAAGCAGGTAATGCTTCCAAGATTCCTTTTGACTAGGTTTTTAGGCTACAAATGTTCCCTCAGGAAACAAGGAAGAGTATATTATGTTCTTGAAATATTTTTTATTTTAGACTAAGATTATTTCTTAAATATATTCACAGTGGTACAATTTTCCTTTATTAGGAAAAAAAGGCAGTAATAATTCAGCATATGAAAAAATAGGATAAATAGTGCCTTTTTTTCCTATTAAAAAGAACAAGGAGCTCAAAATCTTACAACTTCCTTATCAAACCAGGAGATGTGCAGGTTTTTTGATTGATTTTGTGTGTGTGTGTGTGTGTGTGTGTGTGTGTGTGTGTGTTGTTTGTTTTTCTTCTTTCTCTTTAAATTTTTACCCTTGAGGAAGTTAGTATTCTAGTATAAATCAAGTGGTGTTGTCTTGGCTACCTGCTAGTATGTCCGTAACACCCAGCTGTGGTGGTCCTGAGAGGGCCCAGCAGTGGATTTGCTGCACACATTGCTCTGGTGAGCTGGGCAGCACATGGGCTATTTCCGTGTTTCCTCTTTGGAGGGGGATTCCTGTTCCTGCTGCTGGTCAGTTGTCCTCTGAAACTTCCTAGTCTTGACCCAGGCAGCTCAGTGATCCGGTCCCGGAGACACACAGCTGACAGTTGTTTGTGTGCTAGTTTCTAGCTGGCATGCAGGCTGCCTGGCTCTGGTAAATAGAGGCATTCACCTCTACGTTCCTTTGTTTCTACCTTTTGACTTGTTTTTAGTATCCAGTTTCTGATTTTATCCAGTGGTAAAGTTGTAGAAACCCAGTGCACACCTTTCTGGGAGGTAAGTTGGGAAACAGTGAGGGAAGAAATGATGCTAGCAGTCATTGCTTTCAGATATGCAACACTGGTGTCGCATAAGAAATGCCTTCTCATTTTTCTATTACAGAAACAGTTCACTGAGAGTTAGAAAAATTCCTTTTGTACAGTCAGGCTTCCAAGAAGTGGGAATAGTTGCATGTTGGGGGAGATGTTAGTGGCTTTGGTTGGAGGTGATCTACCACTTCGAGCAGTGTCCTCTGTCAAAGGAAAATTTTTCTCTTTCTTCTTGGAGCCTGTCAGTTAAGCAGCAGGGAACAGAAGGCAATCCTTGCTGTCATCCTGTACATAGGGAATAATTGAAGCTTGGTATGTGATGGGAATCTGGGTTTGGGGCTTGCTTTTATTTATTTTTTTTTTCCTGGACAAAAATCAATATGATGAAAAATTCAAATGTTGTCACCTTAGCTGTAGTCTTTGCTTGATTGCGATATAGAAGTTGAAGGGCAAGGCAGCACTGGATGTCACTCTGCAGCCCTGCTCCCTGAAATATTCAGGAGCCTTGTGTTATAAATATGCATACTTCTCTGAGAATCCATAGATTTTTTGAGAATATCTTGAGTTGTTTAGCCACAGTGATTTAATTTCTGCTGTCAGTCTAAATGGATTCAAAACACACAAAAAAATCTTTCATTTCTTTTACTTAACTATATTGGATTTGTACATGATCTTATCACATGTGTGGTAGATGTAAGGTAGAGAAAACTGGAAGATTTCCAATACTGTAAACCTGTTACTAAGCTTAATAGATGAGCTTGTTATGCATTTGCTTAGTTGTCATCTTGGGTTTTGGTAATTTCTACTTGTGCATGTACAGGCACACACACACCCCTTAGGGAGCAGGGCAGTGAAGGTGCTGTTCTTGTCACTGATAAAATGTCACAAAGAGAGTCCTTGACCACAGGGAAATTTCAGGTTTGTTAAGCTGAGAAGGATGCAAAGGATAGAAAAAGCTGACAGAAAGCAGTGCTGAGTCAGATGTTGAGGAGAGGATGGTAGTAATAGGAATAACTGATCATTAGAGTGCTGTGACCTTTCAGAACCAAAAGTGATGGTTGTGATTCTAATTATTTTTTGCATCTTTTCTCCTGATATAGGGAATTCCTCCAAAGAATTTTCTGGAAGCGGATACATGTGAATTTTCTGCATGAAGACTCTCAAACTGGATTACATAATAATATGCCTGTATCCTCTGACTCTATTTGATCCTTAAAAATGATAAGGATTGTATATGAAATTTAACTTTTTTCTCATGAGTGATCTAGACATGAGTTTACATCGGCAAATGGGCTCTGATCGGGACCTCCAGTCTTCTGCTTCCTCTGTGAGCTTGCCGTCGGTTAAAAAGGCACCAAAGAAAAGAAGAATTTCCTTGGGCTCGCTTTTTCGGAGAAAAAAAGACACAAAACGCAAGTCTAGAGATTTAAATGGAGGTGTTGATGGAATTGCAAGTATTGAAAGTATTCACTCAGAAATGTGTACGGACAAGAACTCTATTTTCTCCACGTGTACCTCTTCTGATAACGGAACAACCTCTAGCAGCAAACCAAGTGGAGACTTCATGGAATGCCCCTTGTGCCTTTTGCGGCACTCCAAGGACAGGTTCCCGGAGATCATGACTTGTCACCATAGATCCTGTGTGGATTGCTTGCGTCAGTATCTCCGGATAGAAATCTCTGAGAGCAGAGTTAATATTAGCTGTCCAGAATGCTCAGAACGATTTAATCCTCATGATATTCGTTTGATATTAAATGATGACATCTTGATGGAAAAATATGAAGAGTTTATGCTTAGGCGATGGCTGGTTGCAGATCCTGATTGTAGGTGGTGCCCAGCTCCAGACTGCGGGTAAGTATTTTTCCCCCCATATCTGCAAAAAAGTGACAGCATAAATGCATGATGTTCATAACATTATGCTTTTTGAAAAGTTAGTTGCTTTACTTTAGTGTGTTGTTACGTGTTGCACGAGTAGGTAGCAAGCAAAACAAAAAAAAGAAAAAATCAAAACATGAAAACCAAAACAATAAAAATCACTCAAACCACAACCCACCTTCCAAAATAAAACTTTTCTCAAGCAGGATTTTTTTCTGCACAGGGGAAATTTCAGCAATGTCAAGAAACTTATTGGTAGGTGATGGCCACGTATCTGCAGCAGGCAAAAAAGCAATATAGGTAATTTTGCACCAAGGCAGTGATGCAGAGCTCAAACTCAAGTAAATTGAAAATTTGATGACTGTACTTTTAACTTGTTTGTTAAACCACAGTGGGTATTCTGGTATTTTAACTGTGAAAAATGATTAAAGCTTTTCTTTGAATTAGAAGGCCTCTCCTGCTTCAGATATCTTCCATCTCGTGGCTGGTTGAGACAGCACTTGTTGTCTGTCAGCAGGATTCTGATGTAAGATAATCAGCTTGTTCCTGCTTATTATCTGAGGAACGTAATGTTTTAACATTGCTTTAATACTGAAACAGTTCTGAAACCATTCTGAATTCTGACATGAGTAGGCTGAGTATTACTGTGCAGCTCATCACGTCTTGCTGCTGCTGCTGTCTCATAATGCCATTCTTCAGCAAGTTGCTTTTTGAGAGATTGTTTGTATTATCATACTGCTTAAAGGTTGTAGCCATGACTGCAATCTGGATGTACAGTGCACTCTGAAAACTCAGAGCATGACAGCTCTGTTTCAAAGCCTCACAGATGAGCAATAAGTAGAATGAAGAAAAGGAAGAATGTTAGAAGAGAACAAGCAAAATAGGATTGACTGTTAGGTAGATTAAATATTCCAGTATTAATATTCAGGTGCTTAACATTTAGGACTTAACTTCAAATACAATTTTGCTTTCATACTTTAAATGAAACAGAATTTGCTAATGAGGTTCCAGAGCAGGGACTGGGTGGGTGATAGTTCTGTATCTGGTACAAAGTGGATGTTATTACTGTGGTATATTCAAGGAGAGAAGGAATAATAACTTGAAGAATTGATTGGTTGCATGAGCTTGTAACAGCCATGTGGGCAAAACCAGTACAGCTTATTTTGATACTGCAAAAGGAAACAACCACTGGAAGGTATTACTTGGTAGGCAGAAGTATCATTTGTTCAAACTTCTTTGAGTTTTTGTGTTCTGGACAAACTTTGTTACTCAAGGTGTGAGGGGAAGCATTTAAGAACTGGTAAACCATTTTCTGTTAAACCGTGTTTCAGTGCTTCAGATACTTTTAGTACTTAATTGTAGACTAGAGCAGGTGTATTTAATGGAGACTCTTCACTTGGTCTGTTTTTTGTGCTTTGATTTTCTTACCTGTTTTAAAAAAATTAATTCCTAAGTATCTTTCAATAGTCAGAAACTGTAATGACAGTTGCTATGGATAACACCATTATAAAAATAAGTGTGTCTTCAGAGCCAAGTTGAAGTTCCATGCAATTGTGTGAGACCACAGAAATGTATTAGTGTACAGCAAATATTTAAATCGTTGCTCCAGAACAGCCTGTTGAGTGCTCCTTACTCTGGGAGTGGAATTCTGTGGAAAACACAGTGTATTGCCAGGCAGATAAACTCTGCCAATGTCTGTGTGTGAAGGGAACAGATTAGTACTATAGGGGCAACCTTATGTTGTACTTTTGATGACACAACTTTTCCTGATGTACTTCAAGTGGCAGGGAAATGCTTCACAGTGATAGATGAATTCTGCTTTTAATGCACAGATAGTACCTCCTCCCTGAATTCTCATGACTAGTCTAAAACAGGGTGGAGTTGGTTACTTGGGTGCTTCTCAGGAGGATCATTGTTTATGGTTGTCATCCTAAAGAAACAAGAGCTCATGTAATCATGTTTTGTCTTTTTCTCATCCTCCTGAGTGTTTTGAAATCTTCAGAACCTTGCTATGTGTTGTGCAGGGGGCATTGAGCATTCAGCAGAAGTTAATCTAAGAAGCTTTGGAAAAAAAACCCATTCTACTTTTGCAAAAGAAAGACCATCAATAATGTTCTCAGCAGGAGTAATACCTGCACATGAATCCTGCAGTTCTCATTCTAAATTTGACCTTCAGGCAGCCACCACAGCACCATCTGTCAAGTCTGTATGTGCCTAGCTGCGAGCCCATGCTGGTCTCTCACAGAGAGCTGGGGGAAAGCATCCAGAGGGAGGTGGGAAGAAGTGGGAGTGGTATAGAAAGTAAGTAATAACAGGGGTTTAATGTTGTGGAGTATAGGAGGATGGAGGAAGGAGCTGTACAGGAGTGAGATTTAGGGAAGGAGTCACTACTTAGATTTTTACAGAAAACTCTGTGCTAGCAAACACTGCTCAAAGATGAGGTATGACACAGTTCACACAACCTTCAGTTCAGCAGACATTTGCTTTAATAATTATGTGGTGCAACAGTACTCAGTTTCCAATTGCTTTGGCAACTCTAATCAACTTGTACAATACGTAATTAAAGCTGAGGGCTGCTTTTTCTGTACAGGTTTTGAAATGTAATGCTGACAGAATGCATTAGGGTTGTGATGGTAGCTAACCTGGTTTTAGCATAGATCAAATACTTCATGAAGAAGTTGGATGGAATGCATTTACTAAATTTGCAGTCAGTCCCATAGTAGGAGAGGTGCAATAACTTCAGAGGGTAGCATTATTTCCTGAAGTTGGCTTTAAGATTATAAATAAGTACTGTAATAAATAGGAAATTGGTGCAAAGTGAAGCATTTTGCTAGAAAATATTTACTGCACAAATAGGAAAAAATGGATGGTGGTTGACAGTGCTTCAGCTCTTATCAGCAGTGATCAAACATCCTATGTAGTACTGTTTCAGGGTTTAGGCATCACACCAGAACAAAAATCTGGGCCAGATAAAGAGCAAATAATTATACAAACTTTGATGCTTGAAGGAAAGTTAAAAAAAACAGGAGGGAAGCCAGGTCAGTCTGTTATAATGTTGGCTTTTTGACATCATAGGCCTCTTTGCTCTCAGGAAAAAACGATGAATAGGTAAAAAGCACCTAACTTTTTCAGCTGTCTTTCACTTCTGTTTGGGGGGGGAAAAATGTTCTAGAGACAGCAAAACTTGAACCAAACAGATCTTGAAACAAAGTTAACTGTAGTACTAAGTTCATTCCTATTCTCTCCCAGTGAAGAACTTCAGATCTTCTCAACAGGAGAACTATGTCTGGAGGAGAACGTCTGCAGTAATTAGGCCCTGGACAGGCTGCCTGGGAGCTCTGAGGTCTCTAGCACTAAACAGTCCAGTGCCAGAATGGTCCATAGCACTGGCACCACACACTTCCTTGACCCTGGGCTACTTCATCCTTGGCTTTTGTTGCAAGCTGAAATGCATCCTGATTGTTGTTGTTACCTCAAACATTGTAAAAGTCTGGACCAGCTGTAACCTGCCTGCAGTGGCTTTCACTGTCACATAGGTGCCCCGGAGAAGGAGCATAGACAAGGAAACCTCATGGGCTTTTCCCCAGGCTAATCTTTTGATGTTCTGTTTTTCATACCAGTTTTCCAATGTCATTTCAACAAGACTGATTGAATCAGTATTCCACATGTGTTCTGTCTTTTCTTCTGTTTGAATTATTTAATGATTTTGCTCTGAGACTGTAGTGCTGACATTATTAGAAGAGAGCAGGAATTTCTAGATTTTCTTACCTTTATCAAGCAAACAACAGATCAGGTAAAAGAATACAAATTCTTCATCCTTCTTTTCACTGTACATCCTTTCTTCAGTTAATTGCTCTTTGCCTCTGGTTTTTGCTTTACTCTTTATTACTTTGAATTTGGTTGGTTGTCCCTTCTCTCAGCCTAACAAGGACTTTTGGATTTCATATCTCCTGTAAAATGAATGTAAAATACTGAAATTAAACCTGCAATCTTGCACAGTTTGAACTGAGGTTTGCTCTGGTCTATAAAGTTACTTTCTAAAGGTGTGCCAGTACACCATTCCCAAATGGGGAGTGGCTTCAGGGTTCTACCCATTCTTTATTAGCTACAGGAGGCAAGATATAAACTAATACTTCATCCTATGGCTTATACTTGAGGTTTTTCTGGTATGATGTTAGCAAGCCTTGAATGTATCCCCAACACTGAAGAAGCATTTGGATCAGAGTCTCTTTGTGTACATGCAAACCAATTAATTCTTCAGCTTGCAGTAAGTGGGGAAAATTGAGCTGATTAACTTGGCAGTAATATAGAAGAGTTTAGCAATTATTGAAATAAATTTTCACTTGGAAAGTAAAAAATATTTGAAAACAGACAAGCATGTATCTCTTTTGTAACTGCATCATCTCTAAGTTAAAGGTTGGAAATTTCTGTTTGTTTGCAGAACTTCTTGGGGGGAAACTCAAATATGCTGGTTTAAAACAATATGTAAAGTTGATGCCAATCCTGTCTATTTCCTGAGCTTCAGATCTAGCTGCTCTAAAATAAAAACAGCTAAATTTTCAGATAGGCATGTGAGTGGGAATAATATTTTAAGAGCCATTACAGATAGAGTATTTTGAGGTAATTTATGCAACTGTTATAAAATGGATGAGGGTAAAAATAAACAATTTAGTCTTTTAAATTAAAATTACCTTCATTTGAACAGACAAACTTAAGTCCTGCTGCATTTATAGATCTGCTGAAGTCTATTCAGCGGGACTGTTCATGTGAATAAAACTATACATCTGTGTTAAGTGTTCATACCAGTGGACCTAGTATTCTATATTTAAAAGAAAGCTATTGCATAAAATCATTGAAAAAAGTTACAGTGGGTAGGAATTAAGGAGAAAGTGTGTATATGTGTATATAGGTTTGTATTTGCTATTAATATGAATGATAATATAAATTGTCTGTATTTTTATCATGTGAGCTTTGAAATGCAGATCTGATGAAGGAATTGATTTGTTGCTACAACTCTCAGTGTATAGAACTGTTTGTGTAGTTAGTGTCTGATCACAAAGTAGTGTAACGGTTTTGTAGATCTCAACATTTTTGGAGCTTTTTTGCTCTATGGTATTATCAGATTAAAGGTGGCAATGAGGCATTGAACTCTTACCAATTTCTACATTACAGTTTGAAATGTATCTTAAAAAATGTCATGCTTATTGAGAAACCCAAATCCTCCTTTATTAAGTACTTGGTTTGTTGTTTTGACATTTTAAAATATAAAGAGTTAACCAACATCTGTTTAAAGTAAATAGTGGTGTTCATGATCAAAGGGAGCCAGTTAAATACTGAAATGTTATGCAGTACCAAATCGGATGTGTTTACAGCACTGGGTTACACTACTGATCACTCAGCAGGGATCTTCCCACATTATAGAAAGGGTAAAGCTTGGATATTGCCGTAGTGACTGGGACACTTCTGAAACTGTAACTTTTCCTAATTGCTTCGGTACCTTCTTTTTGAGTTTATTGTCCCACTCTTCTCAACTGTGGCCTCTTTGTGCCTGGAAGCCTTACAATACTGCATTCAGCCTTAAGTGCAGCATTTCAGTGCTGCCTGGAGTTAAGGTGGGTGAGAGCAGAGTGTTGCAGTGATGGTAGTGTTTCTGTACAATTATAATTAATGCAGTGGTGATAGAGTTGTGAAAAGAGGTGGTAAGGACCCAGTGCTGTCCACCTAATGTCAGCTCCTGATGTCCACTGCCTTTGTACCTGCTTCAGCTGCTCTGACAGCTGTCTTGTCAGCTTTGGTCTATAGTTGGAACTGGGTTTATTAACAAAATTCTCTCTCACTCCTCTTGGTCATTCAAGATATGCTGTGATCGCTTTTGGATGTGCCAGCTGTCCTAAACTTACTTGTGGGCGAGAAGGCTGTGGAACTGAGTTTTGCTACCACTGTAAGCAAATTTGGCATCCCAACCAGACCTGTGATGCTGCTCGCCAAGAGAGAGCTCAAAGTCTGCGCCTGAGAACAATTCGTTCTTCTTCTATTAGTTACAGCCAGGAATCTGGAGCAGCAGGTATTTATGATTAGGGTACTGTGTCTGTAAAATACACTTTTAGTACATTTGCACAATTAACCATAAAAAAGGAAAGAACAGAATAGTGGTGTGTTAGATACTAGAATGCTTTGTCTTTCAGAAACATGAAATAACAATTGTAAATTTGAGTTAAAATTTTAAGTGTTACAATTTGAAGTACCCTGTGGTCAGAGCACCTGACTTAAGTCTTAGAAGCTTGTCATCTTTTTAAATTCTTACTTGGTAGCTGAAAAATGTGACATCAAATGAACTTGCTGCAAGGCATCCCATGTGTTTAGCACATTGACTTCTTTAGTTGTATCACTCACGCACTGGGAACACTTGTTTTCTCCGTTGTAGGTGAAATTTCCCACGGCTGCTAATAATAAAAGCTGTTAGAATAAAACTCAAAACCACTGATTTGCTGCCTTCAAAACAGGCTGTTACTCTGATGCTAGCTCTGATGTTTGACATCTTTGTTAGTACTAATTTCTGGTTTTCTGTGAAATGCTCATCTCTCTCATCTACCAGAAAGCAAACAATTCCATCTCTTAAAGCTGAATTTGTTTGTAATCTCCCCCCAAAAGAGGATGTATATTCAGAGTAGTATTTTGCACATCAAGAGTCTAGTTTGCTGTTGATAAGAACTGGCTCTGAATCACACCAAACTGATTTATTTGGCAGCTTTTGTGTCTGCCTGAACAAACAAGGTAGATATTTGGGATTAAGAGTCTCTCTCATGCCTCGTAGTTAGAGCTGATGTTCTCCAATCCAGCCCTAGACCTGGGACTCTAATTTGTTATTTGCACTGTCTTGTATTAACAAGGTATCCCATCTTGCCCTAAAAATTGGCATCTTGCTCTAGTTTTCAAATAAGTTTTAAAATAAACTAAGTAAATTAACACGCCAGCTCTTTTCCTTCACCTTTCAGTCTCTCCCACCATGAACAGCAGTAGCTCTGCCATACCTGTGCTGAAGGACTTGCTGGGTTTAGTTACTGCCCTGTAGGTGGTGCATCTGTTCCCATCTAGGAGTAGCTTGTATCCTTTCAGCTGCTCACTGTGCACTGGAGTTGGTAAAGGCACTTGTGTCTCCCGGTTCTGCACCTCTTTGGGTACTCTTTATATCAAGTGCAAACTCTCCTTTCCCCTTGTCCTGCCTAGCAGCACAGAGGCAGTAAACCTGCAGTTCTGCGCTAGGAGCTGCAAATTGGTTTTGCTCCTACGAATAAGTAGCTTGTCCCAAAGTGCAGGTGCTAACCAGTAATGTGAAGGAATGAAGATCACAGCTGTGGTGTGTCAGTATACAAGTATTTCACTGTTGCTCAATGACCCCTTGTTGGACAGTGCTAGTCACTTAGCCTCGTTTTTCCATATTTGACTTGGGAACAAGAACAGCCTCCAGAATTTTCTTCTTGCTACAATATTTTTTTTCTAAGGAGTAAGTATGTATAAATTAGGGCTGTGAAAAGGAGGAGGTTGATGATATCAAAGAAGCTCAGTTAATGTGAATGGAGAGATGGATTTAAGATAACAGTGGAGACTGAATATTCAAGATTCATAACAGCATGAAATGTAAAAGAGGATTATATTTAAAGAGACCATATTATCAGTCCTGTGTTAACATACATATTTAATGTCTGAGTCTTATATATATTTCATTAAGCTTAGAAAAATCCTTGAACAGAGAGTATACATTAACTATTCAATTACTTGTGGTCTAACATATCTTGTTTTCATTAGTTTTACTTGGTCCAAGGCTTGCAAAAACAAATAGATATCAAGTCATTGCCAAATCAAGATTTGTAAAGCAACCTTAAAAAAAACTTACTCCATTTTTCAGATAGTGTAGTCAGTTTACGCAGATGTATGTCTGTATTTTGATTAAAGCTGCTTGTCTGAAAAACTGATATGATCTTACTATTCATTTTTAAACAGCTGATGACATAAAGCCATGCCCACGCTGTGCTGCTTATATAATAAAAATGAATGATGGAAGCTGCAATCATATGACTTGTGCTGTCTGTGGCTGTGAATTCTGTTGGCTATGTATGAAAGAGATCTCGGATTTACATTATTTAAGGTACATTTAAGAAAAAAATAATCTATGTGGTTGGTAATTTGTTTTCTAAAGTATATAGAAGTAGATTCCCAAGTGCTGTAAGTCTGGATTGCTTCCTGCCTTTTGGAGTAGTTGAAGTATTCATATCAGAGAATTAAGTTAGTTTTCAATACATGTATTTAAATTAGTGCTTTGTTACTTTTTATTTTAAAATCCTTTTCTAAGTTTCATGCATGCAGAGTGTACTTAGTACAAATGAAGAGTTTTAGATGAACACACCCACTATGTTTATTGGTGCCTTAATATTGCTGCATGGTCTTTGTAATAAGCACTACAAAAACTCTGATTGTATTAATTACATATGAACCACAGATTGGTATGTAATAATGTGTGATATGCTTCTCTTTACACTGCAAGATATGTTGTAAAAGCAAAATAAAATCTGAAGAAATTCTAACTGATTATTTGGTATCCATGACATGTGTAACTTGAACCTAAGGACAACAGTTTTTTTATAACTGGGGAGATGTTCAGTAGCGTTTAGCTATGTTGATTTATTTACAATTTCTTTACAGTTTTCTTACTTCTTCCTATTAGCCCATCAGGTTGCACATTTTGGGGGAAGAAACCATGGAGCCGTAAGAAGAAAATCCTGTGGCAACTAGGGACGCTTGTTGGAGCTCCTGTAGGAATTGCTTTAATAGCTGGCATTGCTATTCCTGCTATGATTATTGGGATTCCTGTGTATGTGGGACGTAAGGTAAAATGCTCTACAACTTTAATGTGCTTCAGGTTTTACCTTCTGCATTGTATGACTTGGGTCATACATTCAGTTGGGTGTCTGCACCAGCCTTTAAAAAACAAACAGTCCCTAAACCACCAAACCAGTCGACTGCTGCATTGTTTAAGGATATTTGTGTCAATGGTACAGGAAGGAGAACAAGTGTTTTTAAGAATCTAGTTCCTCTTAAAACAAGCAGAGTAAAACACTGAACAGTTTCCCTCTTGCCATGGAAGTTCCTGCATGCTTTTTCAGAATTGCTCTGGTTTTGATCTCTGGTTTCCCATGTGTCCCTTAGAATGAAACAATATTTAGAAGACAAGGAAGTCAAAAAGGAAATCCTTGTTTTTCTTAAAAGCAGATAGTTACCAGAATTTCAGTATGAAATTGTGCTAGTATAGGTTTGTGCTTGCACACATTGAAACATTTATACTCAGCAGCTTGTTAATTGCCGTGGGCCAGTCCACCACGTGGAGCGGAGTTCAGTGCTGAACAGCATCTATCTTCATTTTAGTGTTTGTGGGAATCAGTTAGAAGTGATCATGTTGGTCAGAAGGCAGTTGGTATATTTCCTCTTAAAAATAAAATAGCTTTTACTGTAAATTACAACTTCCTACATGTAATTTAGGATAAAGTAAGTTACCCAGATCTTTTAGAAGTGA